CGGGCGCGCCGGGGGTGGGGTGGGGGGGGGGGTGGCTATCCTTCCGTCATCGACTCATGAAGACCCTGCTTTTGCCGATTCTCGCACCTCCCCTCGTGACCTGGTGGCCAACAGGTCTGGAACTTAGAGGGAGAGTGCATGGTGGAAATTGAAATGGAACCCGACCGGGCAGCTGACAGCGGTCCTAGAGCCGCCAGCTCCGGTAGCAGAGACCCACGGCAACACGGTGCACGAAACCCGCGCGCCCCAGCTGCACGAAACCCGTGCGCCCCAGCGTCAGAGAGCCAGGGGCCTGAACAGCAGACGTGGCCCACGGGACCCGCTGCACTCCAGCGATGTGTGGGAGACCGGCGCCAAGCCCAGCAGCTGGCGCCCCGAGATCCCCACACGCCCATAGTGTTTATTTTAAAAGAAAAAACTAAAAGCCAGGTTTGGAGGCTTGAACTGTAATCCCAGCATTCAGAAGGCTGAGGCAGGATTTCTGTGAGTTCAAGGCTGGTCTGGGCTATAAAGTAAGATGTCTCAAATTTTTAAAAAATAAAAGAGGGGCTGGTGACATAGCTCAATTACTAGAGTGCTTACCTAGCATGCACAAAACCCCAGGTTTGAGTCCTAGCACCACATAAAACTGAGTATGGTGGTACAGGCCTGAAATCCTAGAACTTGTGAGGTGGGGGCAGGAGGATCATAAGTTCAAAGGCATCCTCAGCTTCCTAGTGAGTTCCAGGCTATCTTAGACTACATGAGATCCTGTCTCAAAAAATAAAAAGCACCAAAAATAAAATAAAAATTACATTGTAACTATTCAAAGATAAACAAGACATTTTTAAGTGAAAATAATTTTGGAGCTATTTGATTGAAGACTGGCAATAATGTCTAAATAGTTTAAATGCCTCTGCTACACATCTACAAAACTTCAGAAAAGACAAGAAACTTTTGTTTTGAGACAGGGTCTTACTGTATAGTCTTGGCTAGCCTGGAACTCACTATGGAGACCAGGCTAGCCTTGCACTCAAAGAGATCTACCTGCCTCTGCCTCCTAAGTGCCTGGATTAAACGCCTGTATCACCATGCCCAGCAAGAAACAAAATTTTCAATGTGTTGGTGAGCTCACAAAAAGCAAAGGACAATCCCAGGGACCTCAGATCCCAGAGCAGAGAAGTGAGTGTGCTGAGCATGAGCTGGGGCTGCTGGAGGGGGGCTTTAGCCTTGAGGACAGGGAGAGAGTCTTCTTTGGAGAGAGTCCTTATCAGCTGCTTCGTCTTCAAGGTAAAAGAGAGAAGGCCTCCCAGAGGCCACTTAGAAAACTTGAGCTGCTGCTCGTGGGGTCTGGGAGACCCTAAAGCTGGGGTACATTCCTGCCTAGGCATGTGGAGGGCAGGAGAGATGGAGTGTGTTGGTGCAGGTCAGTTTCCCACCCTCCTCCCAAGTGACTGGTCAAATATGAGAGGGAGAGCTGGGGATGTAGCTCAGCAGCACAATGCCTGCCTAGAATGTACAAAGCTCTGGGTACCATCCCCAGTGCTGCAAATAAAATAAAATAAAATAAATATTAAAAATGTGAGAAGGTATTTCCTGAGGACCAGATGTGCATTACACTAGAGTCAGTGACAAAGAGAGGGAAGTGTCAGCATAAACCACTGTAAGCCCTCCCCTGGAGTAGTCCTAAAAGGGGCAAGGCAACATGGGCCCTAATGGATTCTGTGGCATGGGTACTTAGGGAGCCAGGCCCAGAGTTTGGATGGCTAAAGAAAAAGGAAATGTTATAGCACCATCTATCAGAGTTGAACTAAGGAACCAGGAACAAAACTTCAAAGAAATCTAAAAATCTGGGTGCAATGGCTCATGCCTGTAATGTCAGCATTTGGGAGGCTGAACTAGGAGAATGGCTTCCAGTTTCAGGCTAGCCTGGGCTTCAATGAGATTCTATCTCAAAACAAAACAAATAAGAAAACAATCAGGCATGGAGGTACATCCTTATAATCCCAGCACTTGGGAGGCTGAAGCAGGAAGATTTTGAGTTCAAGGCCAGCTTTAACTACATAGTAAGATCCTATCTCAAAAAAATAACAAAAAAAGGAGCCAGTGTGGTGGTCTGTTGGTTACCCCTGAAATATTGTCGTTGGGAAGTGGAGGCAACTGTAATAACAAAAAAGAGCCCAAGAAACCCAGACTGTCACCAGGAAAGGAAGTTTTTTTTTTTGGAGGCTAAGGCAAGGAAGACCACAGCAAGTTAAAGGCCAGCCTGGGCTGCAGAGTGAGACCCAGAGTCAAACAAACAAACAACAACAACAATAACAACAACAGCAAAAAAACAAAAATCAAACTTGATGTGGTGGCACATGCCTTTAATTCTAGCACTTGGGAGGCCTAGAAGCAGGCGGATCTCTCTGAGTCCACGGCCAGTCTGTTCTATACAGGGAGTTACAGGCTAGACCTAGTCTTTAAAAATAAATAAGTGGGGTGTGGTTGCCCACAATTTTAATCCCAGCACTCAGGAAAAAGAGGCAGGCCGATCTCTGTGAGTTCAAGACCAGCCTGGTCTACATAGGGAGTTCCAGACCAGCCTGGTCTACATAGTGAGTTCCAGGTCAGCTGGGGCTACAGAGAGACTCTGTCTCAAAACAAAACAATAAAAAACCCAAAAAACAAAAAGAAAGAAAGAAAGAACAAAACAAAGTGGAATGTGGTAGAAGAAGGCACCTGACATCAACACTTGACTTCCATGGCCATATACCACACCCCTCCCACCCCACATACACAAAGCAAGTTCCAGGCCAGTTGGGGCTACAAGGAGATCCTGTCTCAAAAAGACAAAAAAATAAAAAAATTTAAAAAGGGGACAGGACTAGGGATGTAGCTTAGCCGGTAGACTGTTTGATTCGCTTGCATGAAATCTTAGATTCCTTCCCCAGCACTTGGGAGGTGGAGGCAGGAGAATCAGAAGTTCAAGGTCATGTTTGGTTATATGGTGAGTTTAAGACCAGCCTAGGCTACATGAAGCTGAGGGTATGGGGAGGGACACTTTGACAGGAGTCCAGACTGAGGAGATCAAGAATAGAGAAAAAAAGTTGCAGCTTTTGCAACTTGAAAAGACCAGGGAACCTTTTCTATTCTAAGAGGGAGTTATGTACTACAGGGACTGTCCAGAGAGGCAGTGTTTATCCAGAAGAAAATTTCTGGAACTGGAGAGATGACTCAGCAATTAAGAGCACTGGCTGCTTTTGCAGAGGACCTGGGTTCAGCGCCTAGCACCCACATGGTGGCTAACAACTGTCTTGTAACTCCAGTGCCAGGGAATTCAGTACCTCTTCGGGCCTCTGTGGGCATTGTACACACATGGTGCACTTATGTGCAATTAATTAATAAAAATTAATTAATTCATGAGTTAAAGAAGAAAACTGCCCCTCCTGAAAAAAAAATCCTAAAGGGATTCAAAAATAAATTTGCATTTTGATGACAGCATGCACCTTGCTTTGCTTTTCTGTGCATTGTTACAGAATATCTAATACACAGGGAATTAGTTGAAACTTGGAGCTAGAAACACTCCTCTGGGTTACCATTAATTTTACAGAGGAGGTAGGCAGGAGAAAGAAAGTAGAACTCACTCAAGGGGTCTTTGTGAGCTGGGATTAGAAATAGTAGCCAACCCATGAGTCTGATTTATTAGCTTATATTTCTTGGAATTACTTTACCCATTTTTCTTTCTCTTTTTATTGAGCAACTGCCATATGAAAATAGTGAGGTTTGTCTACGGAATGAGCATTCAGATCAAAGGTAACTGAGTACCACAGAATCTGTTTTCAAGGATAGGCTAACAACCAAGTTTAGGGACAAAGTCATGTGCATGACTATCTAGAATAAAAAGGAGGAATGGCGCTAGGTTGGTAGAGGGTGTTGTGGGCCCCCTGAGTCCAGATAGGGCAAAGGGATACTGGAGCTGACCACACAGGACCCACCTGGCTCCTGTGAGCTGGTGCTTTCTTGAGAGTCCCAAGAGACTGCTGGTGGTCTGCTCTGCTGCCAGCAGCATTAGGGTCTCGATAGGCTGGGAGGATGATGGCAGGCTGCTTTCAGGCTGTGTGGGGAAATGCAAGTCAGAGGGCTCTGCTGCTCACTGAGCATCCATGACTTACTCAGCAGGACCTTGAAAGAATCTGTGGGATTGCTCTTGGGTTTCAAAGAGCAGCTCCAGGACCCTGCCCTTTAAATATTAAACCTCGAAATTGTCAGACCAATAATGAGGACTTCTCACCAGAGTACATCTTCTCTGATGTCCTGTGGAGGCCATGCTGTCCAGAGGGCAAGATCTGGACTCTAGGGCAGCTGACTCCCCAAAATAGTGATTAAACACCTGACACATACAACTGAAGGAAGTAGGAAAGTATTAGGGTTCGAGAGCCTGAGGGTGGAGTAATTGCATTTATCAAGCTTTTTTTTTTCTCCCTTCAAAGCTTGTCAGGTCCTAGAAAACCTTCAAGGTATCAAAAATTGTCCCAAGGGACAATTTCGGTCTGGGGTGCATGCTTGTAGTCCCAGCATTTAAGAGGCCGAGGCAGGAGGATAACTGCAAGTTTGAGAGCAACTTGAGTTACATAATGAATTCCAGATCAGTCTAGGCTACAGAGTAAGATGTCTCAGAAGCTACAAATCTCTCCAGCCACCTCCAGGCAACCCAGCTTGGTTTTCTTTCCAACAACCTTTAGCACTCTTCCTGGTTCATCAATGAGGTAGTGACCAGAGAATACACCACGAACACACCCAAGCTCATCCACAGAGTGGGCTGCAAGATGCATGTTCTTCCAGCACACAAAGAAACCTGAAATTTGGCTTATTGTGGTAGTGTACACCTTTAATCTCAGTACTTGGGAGGCAGAGACAGGTGGATCTATGTGAGAGTGAGGCCAGATTGGTCTACATAGTGAGTTCCAGGTCAGCCAAGGTTGTACAGTGAGACCCTGTGTTTAAAAAATAAAGAAGGAGGGGACTGGAGAAATGATTAAGCAGTTAAGAGCACTGGCTGCTCTTGCAGATGACTTGAGTTTGGTTCCCAGCACCCACATGGCAGCTGACAACCATCTGTAACTCCAATTCCAGGGGAATCTGATACCCTCTTCTGACCTCCGTGGGCATTGCATGACATGGGTTTACTTACATGCATGCAAGCAATACACTTATGTATATAAAATAAAAATAATAAATAAAACATAAAAAAAAGAAAGGAAGGAAGGAAGGGAGAGAAAAGGAAAAAAGAAAAAGAAAGAAATCTGGAAATTTGCCATGAAGATGGAAACTTCAGATGTGTGCAGTGGTATCCTTTGCAAGAATATCTCTTATGTGCTGGGGTGGTGGCACATGCCTTGAGTTCCAGCACTTGGGAAGCAGAGGCAGGAGGATCTCTGTGAGATCAAGACCAGCCTGACCTACACCATGAGTTCCAGGCCTGCTGGAGCTACAAGAAGACCCTTTCTCAAAAAGACCAAAAAAATAAAAAAAAACCCCAAACAAAAAAACCCCAATAACAACCCCCCCATATATATATTTATATTTATATAACACAGTCATTGTTGATGAGAACTAACTGCTGAGAGTCAAAGTCACAAAACTTCAGCAGCAGCAACAACAAAATGAAAAGAAGGGGTTGACAAGATGTCTCAGTGGGTAAAGGTGCTTGCTGCTTTAAGTTTAATCCCCAGAACTCATAGTGGAAGGAGAGAAATGAGTCCTGAAAGTTGTCCTCTGACCTCCATGCACTTGATCACATGCACAGGAACACACACACACACACACACACACACACACACACACACCTTTCTCTCTAAATAATTCTAAAAATCCCCCAAAAAACCAAGACCCACCCTAATAGCTCAGCGACTGAGGAGGCAGAGTGCTTGCCTGGAATGTAGCATGCTAAGGCCCTGTTCCTGTCCCTAGCAAGGGGAGAAGATGTAGTAGTTGAGGTGGGATGAACTTGAGTTTAAGGCCAGCCTGGACTATATAGTGAGATCCTATCTTTAAAGAGCAAAAGATAATGCAAAAAGGAATCAGGTCTATAAATACACACGTGACAATGTTCAAATTCATTGAAAATTAGAGAAGCTGCCTTTTTATCTATCACATTAGGAAATTCATTAACATTTACCTTACTGTAATAAGGAAGTGGTGCCTATGTAAGGGAAACTGCCTGTGATATAATCTATTTAAAATAATGATAACATCATAATCACTGATATACACAACTGTCCCTCAGGTTCATGGGGATTGGTTCCAGGACTCCCTCTCCAATACCAAGGTCCCCACATACTCAAGTCCCCTATAGAAAATGGTGTAGCTTTTGCGTAGAACCTACGCCTATCCCTACTTCAAATCGCTATTTTTCATACCTCGTACAATGCAAACACTATGTAAACAGCTGTCATACTGTATTGTTCAGGGAATAGTGACAAGGAAAATAAACGTCCCACATTTTCAGTACAGGCCTAATTTTTTCTGAATATTTTTGATTCAAGGTTGGGTGAATTCATGGACAAGGGACCTGCATATATGAAAGACCAAGCATATATTGGCATATGTGAACATTTTATATGTGTGTGTGAATATGGACACGAAAACATACATCTGTGTTTATGTCTCTGCAGACCTTGGAGGGAGGTGCCACTTACTGTTGTTGTGGTGGAGGAGTTGGGCATTTTGGGCACCAGGCAGTGCGTGAACTGAATCCTTGGGTCTTTGGTGGTGATGGATAGACCTTTCTGCAGAATTTTCACCAAGCGGATCCAGAACTGAAACACGGCCTGGGGATGTTTCTCATGGAGCCTCAGGTAGTAGATCTTCTCAGTCACTGTCCTAACCCTCAGGATGCGCTGGGTCTTGTCATAGATTTGTAGCTCCACATATTTCAGGGGGAGAATCCTGGGCAGAATCAGGAAATTTCCATGTTGGTGCCTGCCACAGCTTTGTGGAAGATGCTGACAGGAGAAGGCTCATGTTCTAAGAGTGGGAATAACCACAAAGACTGCCCTCTTTGTTGGGCAGGACTTTTGTTCATTATTAAAGACCAACCTGGTATAGTGGTACATGCCTCTAATCGCAACACTTGGGAGGTGAGGGCCAGAGTAGTTCAAGTCCAAACTGGGGCTACATGAGACTTTGTCTAATAAAAATTTTAAAAAATTAAACAAGAAATCTGCCCACAAGTTGGGTGTGGTGGTACATGCCTTTAGTCCCAGCACTTGAGAGGCAAGAGGCAGGAAGATCTTTGTGAGATCAAGGCCAGCCTGGTCTACATAGCAAGTTCCAGGCCAGCTGGGGCTACAGGGAGACCCTGTCTCAAAATTAAAAAAAAAATTGCCCACATCAACCACTGCTATTGATGCAGAATATCTCATTTAATTATCACAAAATTCTTTGATGAAGGAAAGATGAGTATTGTCCATTACTCCAGATTTTGCAGCAGAGGCTTAGAAAAATTCAGTGAAGGATTGAGGAGATGGCTTAGTGGGTAAGAGCGATGCTATGCAGGCATGAAGACATGAATTTGAATCTCCAGCACCCTTGTAAAAAAGAAGCCAGGCATGGTCCCATGGGCCTGTAGCCCCAGGGCTGGGTAGTGAAGACTGGTAGATCCCTGGAGCTTACTAGCCAGCCAGCCTCACCAAATCAGGTTTCAGGTTCAGTGAGAGACTACCCTGTCTCAAGGGAATAAGGCAGAGAATGAGAGCGCAGGATGCCCAATTCCATCCTCTGGCTTTGCACCTGCATGTATAACACACACACACACACACACACACACACACACACACACTCAGTGAACTGGGCACAATGGTAATCCTAGCACTTGAGAAGCTGAGTGAGGCAAGAGGATTAGGAGTTCAAGGCCATCTTCAGCTACATAGTGAGTCCGAGACAAGCACGAACTATAGGAGACCCTGCCTCAAAAGGCAAAACCCAAACCCAAAAAGCTCAAGGTTTGCCCAAGTTGAAATCATGTTAAGTGGGAACTGGAATAGTTCCTACATATATTTTTTTTGTCTTTTTGAAGCAGGGTCTCCCTGTAGCCCCAGCTGTCCTGGAACTCACTATGTAGACCAGGCTGGCCTTGAACTCACAGAAATCCACCTGCCTCTGCCTCCCAAGTGCTGGGACTACAGGCATGCGCCATGGAACTAGCATGCCTGGCTAGTTCCTACATCTTGACTCCTTGAATCAAGGGTTGAAAGGATGAGAGGAGGATGGATGTTGCCTATACATGCATTTTCCCCCTTTGGTCTCCTGTCTCTACCTCCCAAGTGCTGGGATTATAGGTTTGTACCATCATGCTCAGTCTATACAGTAGTAGGGCTCAAACCCAGAACTTTGTGCACGCTAAGTTAAAAATTCTACCAACTGGGCTACTTCCCTAATCCTTCCCCCCCCCCCCTTTTTTTTTGAGACAGGCTCACTATGTAGCCCATGCTGGCCTAGAACTCATGATCCTATTGCCTTAGCCTCCCAAGTACTGGGACTTCCAATATCTGTTTTCAATCTCAATATTTCATATTTGATTTTAATTTCACCATTTTTGGGATGACAAGATGACTCAGAAGGTGCTTGCCGCCAACCTAAGTTCAATCCTTGGAACCCACATAGTGGAAGGAGGGCACCAATTCCTGAAAGTTGTCCTTTGACCTCCACATAAGTGTGCCCCCATACACAAACACACAAAAATAAAGAAATAAATTTAAACAAACAACAAAAATCCAAGAGAAAAATTCTCTTAGCGACTTTCTTTAAAATGGTTCAGTGGGTAAAGGCACTTGGCTGCCAAGCCTGATGACCTGAGTTTGATCCCCAGAGCCCACATGATAAAAGGAGAGGACTGACTCCCTTAAGTTGTTCTCTGACCTCTACCAGCACCCTGACATGCATGGACCAAAACACATTTACATGCATAAATAAAATAAATTAAGTAAATGTAATTTTTAACTTAAAAAAAAATCTCCATTTTCTCTTTGGAAATCCCCTATATTACACTGACAAAATAAAAGTCAAGGCTGGGCCCTCTATGAGTTTGAGGCCAGCCTGGTCTACATAGTGAGTTCCAGGTCAGCCAGGGTTACATAGTGAGGTGACTCTGTCTCCAAAATAAATAAATGAAAAGAAGCCAAGATCCTAAAAAACTGAGCTAGAGACAAGAACTGTGCTCCATCCCCAGCATGAAGCACTGTGTTTGTTGCATAGACACTAAATAAATATTTATTAAGCAAACGGATGAGCAAGATCTACATAGCTTATAAACTAAAGAACACCACCCTTTTCTGATTTGAAGTCCAGCTATATAGTGTGTATATTCCTGTCAATCATCCCACAGCTCAGGCACCTCCTTCCAGCCTTTCTTTACCTGCTGAGAGTGATGACAGGGGCACCAGGTGTGCTACAGGTGTTAAGCTGACCCTGAGACCAGGTAACGTTGGCCATCAGGAGGACATTGGGGAGTGGCAAGGAGGGTACTGAAGAGGTCACACCAAGGATCACAGTGGCAGATCGTTCATAGGCATCCATCCAGTGTCCTTGCTTGGTGACCTGGAAATCAGAGCCAGAAACATGGGTCAGAAAGGAACAGAAAACAAGGGGTGGAAGAGTACAGATGCTAGAGAGGGACACTTCAGCTTGGCAACGGGTACACAGTATCCTGAAGTAGGTATTACCTGTACTAGTCTCTTTTGTTGGTCTCCCCAGACAAAGCTTGTGGGCAACAAGAACCCTGTGTGATGCTTCTTTGTGCTCTTTACATTATCTAATTGTAAAAGATATACCACTAACTTGGGAGGGGAGGCAGGAGGATCAGGAGTTCCAGTTCATACTTTGTTTCATAGCAAGTTTGAGACCAGCCTGAGCTTCAGGAGCTCCTATCTCAAAAACAACAACAACAACAAAAACAAACAGAAGGATGTTGAGTAAGAAAACAACAACTGAGTGACACTGGAATTTTTATCCTTCCTGCCTTGGGCAGGAGAAATAGCTTTCTAATTAATTACCTGGAAGGGAGCTGATAGAAGAAAGTCACAGAAGAGAGTGTGGAAAGAGCTATTGTGTGGGGAAGACCAAGGAAGCTCAAGTAGAGGAGGCTTGGGGAGCTTCCCTCAGATAAGAGAGGGCCAGCTTGATGTCTCCAGGGTCAGAAGAATCTGTTACGCTTCCTGAAGTACCTGGGGGCTGTGGCAGCACAGGGGCATTAGATGCTCAGCACTTGGACAGTATTTCAGCTCACTGGCAGAAAAGCACTGAAGCTGTTGGCTACCAAGGAACCATAGATACCATAAATAGAGATGCCTGTGTTCCCAGGACCACTGGTTTTCTCCCATTGTTCTAGACTTTATAAATCCCTGACCATTGTACATCCCCTGTGGGAACTGGGGGCAAGGAAAAAAAAAAAAGAATGACTGAAATTCATTCCCAATAGCCTGACCAAGTAGTGCTCCAAGAAAAACAAATTTTCATTTTTTGGAGAAGTGACATTTCATGGAGTCCGTGTTATGGAATGAAATTTGTAGTCCCCACAAAACACAACCGAAGCCACTGACAGGACATGCTCAATAAATGCCAGGGGCTGGTGCTGCTTTGAGGTTGCAGCAGGGTGGTGGCGATGTGAAGGACAGGGGAAAGAGAAAGCAGTAGAAGTAATAGAACTCGGAGGAGGGAATTATTTCAAATAAAGGTAGATCTCTGCTCTGGATCTGCCTCTCCCTGGCCCTGTTCAGAGTTTCCTGCTTGCTTGGGTCACTCCATGCTCATTCAGAGAATCCAAACAGAGAATCTTAAGTGTTAGACCACACAGAACACAGTAAGAAGACAAGTCTGCTACCACGATATCATGCCCAAAGAGGAATAACTGAACATTAGAACTGGGCTTGGATCTCATGTCACCTCTCTCTCTCTCTCTCTCTCACTGTGTTATGAATAAGCTCACCCCAGGCTCACCAGCTCATCTCACAAGAACATAAGTGTCCACTTGGGCCAGGACAGGGACATGGAGCATCTGGAGCCTTGAACACAGCTTTCTCAAAAGCTGGGACCATGGTAGAAAGTAGCTTATTGCTGTGAGAGCCTCCAATTTAATAGATAGACCCACCTAGAAAGGTTTTCACCTTCTCTCCTACAACTCCCCAGAACTTTTCCTCTTTATTTTAGTGGATTCCTAACCTTAGTCCCTTGGTACAGCCTAGTCTGCCTGCCTTAATCTAGGTACTTTGAAGTTCCCCTGTTTGCCACATCCCCATCCTGTTTTTCCACTTATCACTATCCCCAAAGAATGGCTGAAGCTTCCTGTTATCTGGGACATCTTCTTCAAATGCCAAAGCCCAGAGAAGATGCTCTGGGTATCTATGATCATGCCTTGCTAGTCTGAACTATCTCACATAAAGCTTATGTAAGACAGTTGTGGTTGTATAGCAGTTAAATCAAGTTCCATGGTACATCAAGGAGCTTCTTTCTGGGCTGGAGCAATAGCTCAGCAGTTAAGAGTACATCTGCTCTTGCAGAAGACTCAAGTTTGGTTCTTAGCACCCAGCTCACAACTGCTTGTAATTTCAGATCCAGGGGATCTGGTGCTGTCTTCTGGCTTCCACCAGCACCTGCATTTGTTACATATCCTTACACAGATACAAGTACACATAATTAAAATTAAAAGTAGGACTTTAAGAGATGGCTCGGTGGTTAAGAGCAATATACTGCTCTTGTAGAGAACTGGAGTTTGGTTCCAAGCACCCATGTCAGGAGGCTCACAACCACCTGTAACTTCAACTCCAGGGTGCCCTCTTTTGGCCTCTGTGGGCACTACACTCACATGTACAGAAACAGACACATAATTAAAAACAAAATAAATCTTTAAATAAAGTAAATAAATTTAAATAAAGTAAAAATAGGTCTCTTTTATTATTTTTTTATTTTTTTATTTTTTTTGGTCTTTTTGAGACAGGGTCTCCCTGTAGCCCCAGCTGACCTGGAACTTGCTATGTAGACCAGGCTGGCTTCAAACTCACAGAGATCCTCCTGCCTCTGCCTCCCCAATGCTAGGATTAAAGGTGGGTGCCATCACACCCGGCAAATAGGTCTCTTTTAAAAAAGCTTTTTGGGCTGAAGAGATGGATCAGAAGTTAAGACCACTGGCTACTCTTGCAGAGGGTCTGGGTTTAGTTCCCAGCATCCACATGGCAACCACCAACCATCTGTAACTCCAGTTCCAGGGGATCTGATGCCTTCTTCTGGCCTCTGAGGGAATTGCATGCATGTGGTGCACTTACATACATAAAGGCAAAACACTCATAATTTTTTTAATTAAAAAAAGGAAGGCTAGGTGTGGTGGTGCACGCCTTTAATCCCAGCACTTGGGAGGCAGAGACAAGCGGATCTCTGTGAGTTTGAGGCTAGCCTGGTCTACATAGTGAGTTCTAGGTCAGCTGGGGCTACAAGGGAGACCCTGTCTCAAAAAGACCAAAAAAAAAGAAGAACTACCTTCTGCCAGGCCTGGTGGCACATGACTTTAATCCCAGCATGTAGGAGGCAGAGGCAGGTGGATCTCTGTGAGACTGAGGTCAGATTGGACTACATAGTGAGTTCCAGAATAACTGGGGCTACAGGGAGACCATATTAAAAAAAAAATTAAATGGGGAGACACTGGAAATGTGGCTCAGCAGTCAAGAGCAGTAACCGCTTTTGCAGAGGACCTAAGTTCCATTCCCAGCACCCACATGGAGGCTCAAAGTTACTTCAGTTCCAGGGGATCTGACATCCTTTTCTGGCCTCCATGGGACTACGTGTAAGTGGTACATTTACATACATGTAGGCAAAATACTCAAACACATAAAATAAGAAATAATCTTAAAAATATATTTTTCAAAGAAGCTTCTTTCTTGTCCCAGGACACTACCTAATAGCCTTTGTACATGTCTACAGGGAGCTCCCTCAAGCTATAGGCACAAAGGAACCTGAACTTGGGACCCAGACCCTCTGGTTTGCTCTGGCTCTGGTGGCTTCTTTCTCCCCACCCCCTCAGGGCTTTGAAAGTATCTTCCAACTAATCCCTGGGAACAGGTTATGGAAAGGGGAAGGCTGCCGGCTCTGAGATGCAGGGGATACCTGGATAAAGGTGCTTTCAAACACCACTGAGTCAGAGAACAAGTTGAATTCTGGAGAATGGATCAGTTGACAAAGAAGACCATCTTCTACTCCAAGTTCCACTCCAGGGCCTGGGTCCCTGACCACAGGAGGGAGGCCCCTAATTTTACTCATTGGTTCTTAGGAAGAATGGGCTGTGGAACATCTCTGGAGCTCCACACAGGCCCAGCCCAACTCCAAGGTATTAGTGGGACCAATGCTCCCCCCACCTCCACAGCTCCAGCTCCCTGCTTCCTTATGTTGTTCATATCTACCAGGGATGGTTGGGAGGGCTGGGAGGGCCTGTCAGCTCACAATGGCAGGAATGACATCAAGGAATGTGATAGGTAATGACAGGAAAGGGAGGAAAAAAAGACAGGAAAAGAGGGCACATTCACAAGCCTGCAAACAGAAATAAAGAACTATCCCATTTTTTTAAACATTCACTCTTACCCCAAGCAGGGGGGGATATGACCTTCTTGTGAATGTGCCAAGACAGCAGTGAGCTGACCAGGCTGTCAGTGAAGGCTCTGGGGAAACCACGGGCTTTGATCCTCTCCCATCACAAGGAAGCATCACACAAAAGCTTTGTAAATTCATTTGTTCCGGCTCTGGGGCTGGTGAGATGGCTCAGTGGGTAAAAGTGCTTGCCACCAAACCTGAGTTTGATTCCCAGGATCCACATCATGGAAGGAGAGAATGAACTCCTTCAAGTGTCCTCTGACTTTTCCACATGCATGCTCACACACACACACACACACACAAATAAATAAATAAATAAATAAATAAATAAATAAATAATATCTGGGGATGGTGACACTCAGGAGGCAGAGGGAGGAGGATCTCTGTGAGTTCAAGGTTGGTCTGGTCTACATAGGTGTTCCAGGTCAGCCAATGCTATGTAATGAGACCTTAAAGAATTTTAAAAAAGAAATATAATAATAAATAAATGCTTTTAAAAATCAAAAGTCAGACTCTCTCTAACCTGTCTAGAAGAGCTGAAGGGTAGGAGGAAGGGGATTTTTTTCTACCCTATCTCATGGGATAAAATGAGAATTTATAAAAATAAGCAGGTTGTTAACAAAACCAAGAGGCTTATTTTTAAAGAGTGAACAAAGGAGGAAGCAGGCTTAGTGGTATGTATACTGGTGCCAGCTCAAAATGGGTCACTGAGGTGGTGCCACCTTAAAGAAAATCTAGCTTGCCAGGCATGGTGGTGCATGCCCCACAGAGGCAGGTGAATCTCTGTGAGTTTGAGGCCAGCTTGGTCTACATAGTTCCAGGACAGCTAGAGCTACAGGGGACCTGTCTCAAAAAAAGACAAAAAAGAAAAAAGAAAGAAAGGAAAGAAAGAAAGATAGGAAGGAAGGAAGGAAGGAAGAAAATCTAACTTCTGGAGTTGTTTAAAATAAGAATGAGCCTGATCTGTTCTCAAAACAGCTCTTTCTGATTTCTCTCAGAACTGTTCTCTGAAGAACAGGCTTCTCTGTTTTTTTTTATTAAGTCTATCAATCATGATACAGGAAGAGATTGAGAAACTTTGTCTTAAAGAATCTTTAACCAGAGTTTACAAAGAAGTAATTTTTCTGATCCTAATGAACCAGAACAGCACACAAAACCACAACAGATGCCATCAACCTATGCCCTATGCCCAATATGTTGCTTTCGACATTTGTGGGGCACATGTTGTTTCCAACAGTCATCACTGCTTCAAGCAGGAGGTTTTAGGTCTAATTACCACATCTTACACATACATATGTTGTTCTGAGCCAAGTGCCTGAAAGGGTCATTAGGGAGAAAAAGGGAACATGGTATAATATTAAAGCTATGCCTTGGGGGTCCAAAGCACAGTAAGGCTGATTACATTGTTTTTCTTAAATGCTAGTTAAATTTAAATAAGCTGAGTGTACAGGAAGAAAACAGGTTGAATACATTGTTCCAAATGATCTCAAAGCCTATGATTAACTTAACTACAAGTCCAATTTGTGATTCTCAGGAAAATCATTCCTACATGTCACCAAAGAAACTGGGTGAGAGGTAGACCCTGGTAGTCCCAGGTAGTCCCAGGTACTTGAGAGGCTGAGGCAGGAGGATTGCTTGAGTCCAGAAGTTTGAAACCAGCTTAGGCAACACATCGAGATCTCATTTAGAAAGACTTTTTAAATATTTTATTTATTATTTTTATGTGTATGAGTGTATTGTCTACAGGTGTGTCATGCATTGCCTGTGGAGGTCAGAAGATGGTGTTGGATCCCCTAGAACTGGAGTTATGGACAGTTGCTAGCTGTCATGTGGGTGTTGGGAACTGAACCTGGGTCCTCTGCAAGAGGTTAAGTGCTCTTAACGGCTGAGCCATCTCTCCAGTCCCTTAGAAAAACTTTTAAAAACGAAACACTCCACAAATTTGCATGTCATTCTTGCACAGGGGCCATACTAATCTTCTCTGTATGGTTCCAATTTTAGTATATGTGCTGCTGAAGCAAGCACTAGAAGAATTTTCTTTTTTTTTTTTTTTTTGGTCTTTTTGAGACGGGGCCCCCCTGTAACCCCAGCTGTCCTAGAACTCACTATGTAGATCAGGCTGGCCTTGAACTCACAAGAGTTCTGCCTGCCTCTGCCTCCGAGGGATTAGTGCTGGGATTAAAAGCATGTGCCACCACGCCCGGACCAAGAAGAATTTTTAAAACAATTTCAATGTATTTATAAATAAACACATTTAAAAATAAACCATTACCAAAGAAATTGCAAAATATCTAAGCAGGGATGGTGGCATGAGCCTTTAATCCCAGCGCTCAGGAGGCAGAAGCATGTGAATCTTCATGAGTCTGTGGGCAGAAGGTCTACATAGGTAGTTCCAGGCCAGCCAGGGTTTCATGGTGAGACCCTGTCTCCAAAAATTCATACATCCTGAATTTGGTGAAATGAAAACAACTTGTCAAAAATTATGAATTGCAGCTGAGTGTGATGGCTCTCTGTAATCACAGCATTTAGGAAGCTTAGGCAGGAGGACGGCCACCAATTTGTAGCCAGCTTGGGCTACATAATTTGAGGGCATTGTGGACTATGGAGTGAAACTATGTATCAAAAAACAAAACAAAAAATTATAAATTAAAAAAAAAGAAAGAAAAAGGAGGAGGAGGAGGTGGTAGTGGTGGTGGCTGGAGAGACTCAGTGCTTAAGAGCACTGACTGCTCTTGCAGAGGACCTGGGTTCGATTCCCAGCACCACATGGTGGTTAACCATCTGTAGCTCCAGTTCCAGGGGATCTGACACCTTCTGATCTCTGTGGGCATTGTACAACACAGGTACACTTACACACATGCAGGAAATACACTCATACCCATAAAATAAAAATATTAAGCTGGGCAGGCATGGTGGTGCATGACTTTAATCCCAGCACTTGGGAGGCAGAGGCAGGCAGATCTCTGTGAGTTTGAGGCCAGCCTGGTCTACATAGTGAGTTCCAGGCCAGCTGGGACTACAGGGAGACCCTGTCTCAAAAACATAAAAAAATAAAAATAATAAATAAAGTTTTAAAAAGAAGAGGAAGAGGAATATGATGATGATGCAGTATTTTGAAAGGAAAATGTCACACCTGAATCCCAGCACTTGTGAGGCTAAGGCAGGATTACCATGAGTTAAGGCCAGCAAGGACTATATAACACAACTCTGTCTCTTACACTCAAAGATTGAGTTCAGGCCAGGTTAGGCAACTTAGTGAGATCTTGTCTCAAACAAAAAGTTTTTTAAAGGGGCCATAAATATGCTCAAATGTTTTGTACAAATGTACACATAGAAGCTATTACAACAGACAGGGAAAACTTTTTTTTTGAGACAGGGTCTCGTGTAGCCCAGATTAGCCTCAAATTCCTCATGTAGCTGTGGAAGACTTTGAATTTCTGACTCTCTGGCGTCTAACCCCTGCATGTTGGATTACAGGCAAATGGGCTACTATGATCAGCTTTAAGTGGTGCCAGGGATCATAACTAGAGCCGTGTGCTCACTATAGAAGCACTCTGCTAGGGAAGATACATCTCCCACCCACGCAGTCTTTAACTGAAGTTTTAAAAACAAACAGGAAAAGTTAAATACTGATTTAGATTCATACAAGAAACTGAGTTGTAATTAAATATCACCCCCAAATGAAACTCAAGGCCTATACTGCCTTACTGGAAGAGTCCCAAAAAGTTTTTTCTTTGCAGGACTCAGGATTAAACCAGGACCCTTGTCCTTTTTTTTTTCTTTTTTTTTTGAAACAGGGCTTCCCTGGAGCCCCAACTGGCCTGGAACTCACTATGTAGGCCAGGCTGGCTTTGAATTTACAGAGATCTGCCTGCCTCTGCCTCCCAAGTGCTGGGACTACAGGCGTGTGCCACCAGGCCCAACTTCTTTTTCATTTTTTAAAGACTTATTTTTATTTTATTTATGTACATGCATGTGTATTTCTGTGTACATATACCCCTTGTGTGAGGGTGCCAGCAGAGGCCAGAAGAAGGTGTCAAATCCCTTGGAACTGGAGTTAGAGTCAGTTTTGAGCTATCTGATGTGGGTGCTGGAAACTGAACTCTGGTCCTCTGGAAGAGAAGAGCAGCTCTTAATCACTGAGCAATCTCTCCAACACCCAGTTTTTGAGACAGGATCTTACTAAATTGGACTTGAACTCCATATGTAGCTCAGACAGGCCTCGAACTTTCAGTCCTTCTGCCTTAGCCTTTCAAGTAACTGGGATTACCGCTATCTGCCACCATGCGGAGTTATCCATCAAATATTTAAGGAACGGCCAAGTGTGGTGGGTGGCACACGTCTTTAATCCCAGCACTTGGGAGGGAGAGGCAGGGAGTTTCAGGCTAGGTGGGGCTACAGGGTGACCATGTCTCAATAAAAAAATCGCCCCCCCCCCAAATTAGAACAAAACAAAAATCCAAAGCCCAAACAAATATTTAATATCAAATTTTCACAAACTCAGGATATGGAATAGGAAAAAGTTCTCGATTCATTTTATGACTATAGCATTACCAGAACCAGATAAAGACAAACTAAGAAATCAACAGAGTGATCCTTGTATCCTAACCCTAATAACTCAACTTGTGTCTTCTAGAATCCAACAATTTCTGTGAGCAAAAATGATGATGCTCCAAGGCTACCAACCAGTTGCTGACCCAGAAAGACATGAACCTGAAATGGACCTCTCCTCCAATCCATGGACAGAATAGGGAGAGTTCCATGGTCCCTTTTAAGCAGGGTCTATCTACACCCATGG